TAGCAACAACTCTGACAACTCAGAACGTCCTTGCCCTTGTATATTCTTCTTCCCATCATGCACACCATGCACGCGTTTTCCAATGTCTTGCTCAACATGATCAAATATGGTCGTGCTAAGGACCTGACGCATCATCCAGGGTTTTCCTGACTGACCTTGTCTTCGAACCCTCGGTGACTTTCGTAAAGCTACGTGTACTTACATGCAGTGAACAACTCTATTTAAAAGAATAGGATTTCCTCTACGACAGCATCCTCTGAAAATTATTAACCCTTTGCACTCGAGAGGTGACTCCCAGACGCCATTTAATCAGATTCTGAAGATCGGTGTTAATTAATATATCAAATTTAAAATTAGCCAACGATGCGTGGAATGTGGAAATAAAATAATTCTACTTATTAATTTGCATACGATTTCTTATTTACCGTTTTAAAAATATCCTAGACCTTATGGCAAGTCTTCGAATTACCATTTTTCTGTAAGGAAAAAATCGCCGAGTGCAAAGGGTTAATTCTGTGTGCCAAACAATTTTCGTAGAAACACCATTTTTGTAACTTCAACCCCTTGTGAGATATTCCACCCTATACATTTAAAATGGATACACTTTACATGTCTCTCATCTTACTTGATTTTTCATCCATGTAATTTATTGCATTTTCCTGGATTTAAAGGACTCTAATCGGAAAAGGGTCGTAAAAGAGAAAGCAAGAGAAAGTGAGTGAATAGAACGAAAATCGGACTTATCGAGGAAACGTTCATCGACGAACCGATGGTCCTGCAATATTTTTGAGGGTTGAAGGAACGAGGGTAGGTTTTAACACTAAATAGAATTACCAAGGGTGTCAAAATGACATTTTGGGATTTATTATTTTCGAAATTATTGGAAACACTTTGTGCAGCTACTTTCAGCAAAATTAATATTGATTCTTCTATAGATAAGAGCATAATTATTTGTACCTTTTTATTTTCATTATATTACGTTTATTTACAACATATTTATTGTATGTGGATATCACAAGTTCTAGTGTTAAGCACGTTTAGGGAAAGTGAGGGATGAAGCTTTCAAGATAATGTTGTATGAATAGAGTCGTTGTTTCATGTTGTTTTTTTATTTTTATATATATCACCGTTTAACCAACGCTTTCTTTACTCAACCTTATATTTAAATAATATACACGGTGTCCAGAAAGATCGGGACCAAACTTGGACTACGTGTTACTGAGATCAAATAAATGAAATAATTCATATGAACTTATGTCAGAAAATGCTGTATTAAAAAGATACAAGTCTTTAATGATATTTATTTTTTTAAATATTCAAAAATTCCCCCCAAAAAATTCCTTATTGAGAACTTGTATTATATGTACGATTCTCTACAACGAATTTTAAGACGAATTTTATTCGTATCCTTTTAATAAATCTTTTTTGAACATAAGTTTATACGAATTTTTTGCCTCTATTTGACCTCGGTAGCACGTAGTCCAAACTTGGTCCGAGTCTTTATGGACACCCTGTATATCTAGACAGTACTTTATTAAAAATCGAACGCTGAAGAAGCGACCTACCAACTCCTGTCTCCCTCGTTGCACGAGGAAGATCGATCTTAAGTCTTCGTAGACGCCATAATAGAAACAAGATTTACCTTATTAAAATCAGAGGAGAGAAAACGAGCAACGCTGACGCGGCGTTATTACGCATCCTCGAGAGCTGGCTGGGGTCTAAATGCAATTTATTCAGGTCGTTGTTGCAGCGTCGCGAAGGCAACGCTGGGCGTCACCCACTTTTCCCTCAAGATAATGCCTGTCACATGTGAGGATCGGTTTCTGGCCGACACAATGGAAATGAGAATGTAACCATCGCGCGTGGCAATATCACCGCGACAGCAACGCCACCGTGTGTTAAATAAAAATCGTAGGTGTCCCCGGGCAGAAATAAATGTCTATCGACTAGCCGGTTAATTAAGCCGTGGTATCCGCGACGAGGAAGTTCTGCCTTGGTAACGGCGTGCTTTTATCCTAATGTCATCCGGTAGAAAAAGCGCGACGTGCTTTCTTTAGATCGTTAACGTCCCACCCTTTGTCTCGCGATTATGAAACGTTCTTCCGCGACACCTGTTGGATCATCGAGTGAACGAGGCCTGCACACGTGTGTGTAATGTCTTTTGCTTGTTTCTTTTCCTTTTTCTGTTACATCTGTATGCGACAGAATATAGCAATCGACGCGATTGTATTATGGAAGATATTGTGAGGTTATGAGAACAGTTTAGGTTAGGTTGAACGCTAGAGTGTATAAATAACACCTTTTGTTTGTTATTTTAATAATTTCGAAATAATGGAACGTAAATGTAGAGGAACATTCTGATATTCTTGAGAGAGAGAGGTAAGGAGTTTGCGAGGAAGATTTAGGTTAGGTTTAGGTTAGATGCATACGAACGCGGAGTATCCGCTGTTTATATTTGGAAATGAACGAATATAAATGTAAGAAAACGTTCTGGTATGTCTGAGAGAGGGATAAGGAGTTTATGAGGAAGATTTAGGTTAAATTTAGGTTAAGTTGCATACAAGTGTACAGTAACTTTTGTTTATATTTGGAAATGAGAGAATGTTCTGGTATGTTTGAGAGGAGGATAAGGTTATGGAACATATAGATGTATATCATCTTCAGCTTACTTTTTTGGTTAGGTTCGAAGACGAAATAATGTCATAATTAATACAAATACAAAAGAATATTTCAGTCTGAAGGAGGTATGGAGAATTTATGAACAAGATTTGAATTTGATTTTGGTTTAATTGCATTCTGAAAAAAAAGGGTTTACTTGTTTTTTAGGTTATGTCAGAAAGCGGAAGAGTGTGATAATTTCATAAGGTTTGGGGGAGGATTCAATAAAATTTAAATTTAGTTTGGGTTGAATTACATTCTAAAAAAGTGATTTACTTGTTTTTTAGGTCATGTTTGAAAGCGGAAGAGTGTGATAATTTTATAACGTTTGAAAGAGGGTTCAGCAAGATTTAAATTTTATTTGGGTTGAATTGCATTTTAAAAAAGTGGTTTACTTGTTTTTTAGGTTATGTTTGAAAGCGGAAGAGTGTGATAATTTTATAACGTTTAGAAGGAGGTTCATGATAAAGGAAGCTTAATTGGATCAGTTAATGTTCTGATATTTATTCGGTACTTAAGTTTATAATACATATTTTGCGTACGAACGATATCACGTGGAGGATATCGATTGTTGAGCTGTATAATCGACAGACGTAAGCCATTTTGACAACAGAAGCAGATGGGGATCCTAATTTGCTTAGTGTGTATCGCATGTGGTTGTTATAATAATGTTGTTTATTATCGTATTGCACATTTTAAATGTACAACTTACCTATTTGAATATTATGAGCATATTATTATTTTCCTTTTTCAACTCTCAGCTCGTATATTTTGTATCTAAATTAACGTAATGAGAGAACTGGTTTGCTCTAATTCCAAGGGAATAATGCGTGCAGAGAGAACAAACTTTGGAACGAAAACAAAGGTATTTTTACAAACAATAACATTATCAGTTAAAATGATAATTTAAATAACATTTAGAAAATTATGATATGAAATACACGTATAATTCATTTTATAGTTGACATGTATATAATGTATATTTGTGGGAGTAGTAATATTTGAAATTGAAATTATTTTTGTGATTATGATACTATATAATATCATTTATATCATTTTATAAATTAAAACAAATTATTCTATATTATGATATTTAATCAATTCATATAATTATAATTATTCTATAATTATTCTATATTATGATTATTCTATATTATGATATTGATTCTATATTATGATATCCTATTTGGTTATTTTTGAATAAAAATTTGTTCTCTGCAGCGTATGATATATATTCGTATAAATAACTTTATTAATTAAATAATTGCATTCATATATTTATGCTTTGTTAATTGCAGTCATATATGTGTTTTTTATTTTGACGCATATAAAAACATTCAAAAAATGTTTAATAATTTTATTAAATATTTAATAACTATTTTTTTGAAGTAATGGAATAATCGAGACATGCTTGAAAAGTACCTTTTTATACCTCCGGGAAATCAATAAACGTTTAACTACCCTTCTCCCATATAACTATAAAATTCTGATATTTTTAGTATCCCTTTGTTACCCACACAAAAATGCATCGGTCAAACCGAAAATTTTATTTAAGCTGCTTTCGCATATCCCCGATATTTCGACCGAGTCAAATGTGATACAATGTGGCATACATTTGCACTAATATGAATAATTCTCTCGTGCATTCGGTTTCACATAAATTCGAGCAACGAACAACCCATCCTGTTTTAAAAATAAAAAAACACTTCCCAACGTATAGAATCAGTACAATTCATAAAAACAGAGGAATAAAGAATACGTGAAACAAACTATTTATAATACTAATTTATACTACTAATTGTAAGCCAGGACCACCCTATAAAATTTTTTATTGTCATTTTATTATTAACACATTCATTGTCTGCCAAAATGGATTTGTCGAATCTAACTAAAAATTAAAAATTACATATTTGAATCATTTTACTTCATAAATCTTGACTATTATTAATTATTATTATTAATTGACTCTTATTATTACTATTATTATTAATTACTATTATTAATCTTTAATTTGGTGACTTTGACACTCATGGTCTTTTTTAATCACCATACATATTATTGTATACATACATATAATTATAATTAATAAGAAAACCAAGATTAAAATATTCCTTATATATTTTGTTCAGTTTTTACGAAATTCTTTAAAGTTCATATTTTATACTTCATTCATTTTTGCTCCATCAAAGCTCCCTTAATTTATATTTTACATTACTTTCGTTTTTCCCAATATTCCTTGAAATTTATATTTTATGCTACATTCGTTTTCCTTAAAATGAAATTTCTTAAAATTTATGTTTATGCATTTTCCCTCGTTATTTTGTAATTATATTTAATTGCAGGTATACGTGGCTTCCCGAGGACGAGGAATTGACGAAATTGGAGGGCCCACGGCCGGTGCTGCCCCCAATACCCCCACCACCCACCGTTCAGGCCCCGAAGACGAAGCACGTGAGCTTCGCGAGGTCTCACACTCTCACTTCCTTCGACGTTCCAAGAAGCAGGAGTCCTCCAAGACCACAAAACCAGGAACGCCTTATAGATTCGCAGCCAACGATGCAGAACGCCATGCTTCCTGCGACCTTACCCTTGATGCATCCTTACAGTGCTAACGAGCCCCGAGTTATTGTCCTCGGTGAGTACCTTTTGTCGTGCAAATACACCACTTAATACCGCGGATTATCATAATTGGTCATAAATTAATTTATTTCGTGTAATATATTCACGTAGCATATATGTACGTGTGCGTAGATAGTGTTAGTGGTGGATTAAATTTAATAACAATAAGAACAATTATTTATTTAATTACAACGATTATGAAACACAAATATTAGGTTGAAATATAATTAATTTATCACAATCACATGCTCAGACTTCTTTTCACTATTGAAACTCAATTGCAACTGACTCATGCCAAATCACACTCCTTTTTTTCTTTCTTCTTTCATACATTACATTAACATACACAATTCACACAACACCTCAATCATTACATGCATACTCATTTATCATAATAACCTAAATTCATTAGGTATTTCCATCCCATGCATAGTTGTTCCAATCATCCCAACACATACATATTTAAAAATCTATGTAACCATTACCACAGATAGGCCCTCTGATGTGTGTGTGTGTGTGTGTGTGTGTGGCTTTATTTGCTAGACTATGCTTTGCAAGCTTAATTCTTTTTCTTGAGGTGAATGTAACGAAAATAAACTTTTTCTCCTCGGTATTCCTCCTATGTTTTGAATTAAGGTTAGATTCATTCATATTATGAATTTTATCGGAATTTAAAAATTAATTGACGGAAATTTAATTTAAATTTATCAACTAGTTTATTTTTTCTCATTTCATGATATTGTAAACGATATGGAGATTTAGGAAGTAATCCTATTTATAAAATTTAAGAGGAAAATTCATTATGCATAATTAATACTGGTCAATAACCACAGAGGATAGATAATTAGTTAATGCTTGTTAATAGAGAATTTATAGGAAATAATTGGTAATCGATGTCTAATAGTGAATAATTGGTATTTGTTATTTCAATTGGCAACTCGTGGCTAACAACTGATCATTAGTAACCGTATTCCTTGATCAATAATCCTTAATTGATAAAATTAATCGATACATTTCTTTTCTTTTATTTTCTCGAATAAAACCATCTCTAAACACATGTAACAGTAAAGCTACGCAACTCTTGGCAACAACCCTTACTCGAAACTTTATGACAATTCCTTACACACTAACTCGCAACTCTAAACAAACTCTCACACTCTTTAACCCTTTCGGTACGGAGGAGCTGGCCGTGGTTATACATTCGTGGTACGAGGAAGTTTTCCACAAGAGTGGTTGCACTGGAGGCCAGGAAAACGTGTTTTGCGGTATTTATAAAAACCTCGAGCGTGATTGACACTAAACTTTTCATTCGATTCGCGACAGTCATCGGTGACGTTTCGTGGATGCCGCCAATAGGCGACGGTAGTACCCGAAGAACGTTTCATGGCCGCCGCCATTGGGCGGCAGTAGTACCGAAAGGGTTAACTCTACTTTCCAGAGCGGGCCCTTTTAAGCCCGTCTGGAAGGCAAGGGCCTGCCCCGAAGGAGGAGGAAACTCCGTCCGCGCAACGCTCTGGGGTAGAAGGGATTCCTCCTTTCAGGATAGGCTCTCCGAAGGGTCACCCTCGCGGGGACCCTTCCCGAGAGGTGACCGCGGACGCGTCACCCTCAGTTTACAATGGGGAAAGCCGGGGTTGCGCAAGGCTTCCTCACCTGGCCTAGCCCCGACCTCCTAAGACTCATTTGATCGCCACACTCTAACGGGACCTCTACACCTGGCGAATTTTCCCTATTTTAGTTTCCGTATGGGATAAAATTAGGATAGAATAAAATTTCCCTATAGGAACACTTCGAACATCGTGTCCTGACAATGTCTAAAAATATCCTGCATATATGTGGGATTGGAATAAGTACGGCCCTGAAAGAATGTCAAATGTGCCTGGGCTTAGAATGAAAGTGACCGTGTGCAAGAGGATTGATTGCAAAGAATATTTATGTTAGAGTCGAGTGAAATTTTAGGGATGCGTCCGGAGTGGTTAAAGTACCTGGCCCACCGAGATTGCGAGGAAAAGGGACATGATTGGAAAGGAAAGCCTGGATATGGAAAAGGACAGAATGAATGCTTTAAATAACGGTGCAAGGGCGCGGACGAGGTAGTCTCCAGGAGTCTTTGGTAGTCTTGAAAGAGTGTGTTAGTATGCGAGTAAGAAGTCAAAGTCGAACGTGCCCATAGCGAATCTCTCTTGCTTCATAGCCGTCAATCTACGTATAAGCTTATTTTATTCTATCAAGGAGTAAAACAACGCTATTTTAGCCGATCCATCCAACCCGATTTTACATATATTTCTGTTAATCTGGGCGTGCGCCGGTCACCGGTGGCCGCCGTGGCGCCACCGTCGACTTGAGTGCTGGTCACCGGTGACCCCCATGGCATTCAACGTGTTAAAGTGTTAATAAACATCGAGCTTCGAAATTTGATCAAATGACGACTGAAGAGCGCCTCTCGAGTGCAAAGGGTTAATGTTAAAAACAGAAAACTTTCCGTGGAAGAATATAACGTGCCTCATGAATGTCTCGTTGAAATCTCGTCTGATTTGTCCAAGTCTCTATCTCGCAGGTCAATTTTCACGCGTTCACACTTTTCACGATTTACCCTCGACTCATTTTCCCACGAAGTGTATAAGCCAGGTCCTTCAAAAGCACGTACATGTTTGCCCACGTAACCAGATAGGCTCTCTGATGTAACTTAAAAACTAAAGCTGTACATCGGTCCGAAAGCACCCTTTAGAGGAAATGTTTCAATAGGACAGCTCGCTTGAAATTCTTTTTCCCCCAAAGCCACGCGTTACATCACCGAGCGAAAAGTTCCACGGTATTTAAGGTGCCCGCAATTAAGGCTTCGGACTTCGTGTGATTGGTATTTCAATTAATAACGGGGGTGGAATTAATGGAAGACATTTTTAGAACTGCAGATTCTTCAATAAAGCTTCGTGAGCTGAAATTTCATCATTAACGAAAAAATGAAGTTTTATTTAACAGTCATTCGTATTTATATATTGAATGACGAAACTGTTTCACATTATCAGTGATTTATAGAAATTTCTTATAATTTTGCGATTAGTATAAAAGAACATATAAGAGTATATAATCACCTAATGAATATTAGAGATTAGGGAAAAAGTTAAAATTTGTTGTACAGTGTATTTAATTATCATTCCCATGTAACTGGTGATATATTTTTATTATCAGTATCAGAATACTAATAAATTCCATAATTTTGTCAATATGGAAATATTGACAGAAAACACGTCTTATTTATTACTATAAATTTATTGCTGGAAAAACAGAAGAAATTTACTAAATTTATTTTTCTATCGGATAACGTAATTGCCAGTTATACATTTGAGATTAAAATCAATGTAAAAATTAATTATCAATTTTATTTCTATTTTGCAATACAGGTAATTTTTATGCACAGGTTTATTTCATTGTAATTTATATTATAAATTATAAATTAGATCAACGGGCAGGACCACTCTTTTAATCCAGTTTATACATTCCACGTGGCTCTTACGTTTTTAAAAATAGAAATTTTACAGAGCATAAATCTTTCTTTCTTTTATCCTCCAGTCTTTCGTAATTAAAAATGAAACTGTCCTATATTTTATAGAACTTCATGTCTTCCGTGTAACAAAGGTTTTCTAGAAAATAAAGAACTTGCCTTTCGTTTATTAATAATTATGAGAAATCCGATATACCATGACGTAAGCACGAGCTTTGTTCTCTTGAAGATGCTTGCTCCTAATACACTGAGAATAGAAGTCCTCAAAAAGAAAAAGTCCGACGCTTTTCCAATGACACTTCATCAATCATTCCTGATTAAGAAACAGCCTGTCGAAGTAAAATTGTTCTATTGTTTCATCACGAACTGCAGTAGATATAAAAGTTGATACGTTGCTCCTCGTTTCACTCGATTCTTCTAACACAGATCCAAATGTAAAAGGAAGAGGAAAATTATCATAAACGTGTGTTATAAAATATTTACTTATATTAATTATTATTTATATTTTGTTTTAAATGTTCACAAAATTAATAATTATTGTAGATATTTTATTTTATTTTAAATATCAATATTGCTATTTATAATTATTATAAATAGTATATTTTATTTAAAATATTTATGATATTGGTAATTATTAAAAGTAATAGCACAAATGGAAAAATATGTAACGCATAAATTCCTATGCGAAATACATTTTCTATTATTTTATATGTATAAAGGGCAAAAACAATATGGAAGCTCAGCAACGAGAAAAGTTAGCAGAACGTGAATCTCTCTTTCCTAAGGTAACGTGATATGAGTACTTACCTACTGCATATTGAAAACATGATCGGGAGTACGAGAGCAGTGGAATACTGTGAATCCAATCTTTCTCCTATAAAATAACGAGTAAAAAAGATCAACGTGAACGGGTTACCTGCAAATAGGCGATCATCCATATTTTATCTCGTGTTACAGGAAATTGATTAAATTTACATCAGTGCTGGCTGATATATAACCCTATCGTACTCTGATGAACCCGAAATCAATTTTTGAAAGAGCATATTTATTTGATATTATCAGCAACTTGGTCCAGCAGAATTTAAACATTTGTCTACAACAATTATCCTAAAATATTATTAAATATCACCATTCTTAATAAATATTAATATCCCAATTAAATAAGTGTTCTAAAATATACAAATTTTTTCATTCTAATTCTAAATCTTTTAATTTTAATTCTAAAATATTAAAAATTCAGTATAAAATAAAATATTCTTCCTAAATATAAATTTTCTTTGTCAAATTTTATATATAATTATTAAAAAAAATTTCAATCGCTGTACAATGAACATTTACTTCGCATAAACATTTAAAACTTATTTAAAGTCTCCAATATCTCATGAAAAACTTAATTCGAAATTTAAAACTAGATAAAAGTCAACATAGCACTGTTTAATCGTAACGTGAATTTCCATAACCGTAGATTTCTTGACTCGCGTAGTAAATAAACTGAAACTCCGCTTCATAACCTCAAAACGACACAGCGTTACGGTCGTAACACGCACCGGAGTGACCAAGAACGCGACAACAGAGACATCTGTTGTAAAACACGCGGCACTTTTACCAACTGTGTACACGCTGCGTGGAGGGTGCTACGCTTAAAGGATTTGCAGTTCGTTTCCATTCTGTATCACCTTGTTGCCCTCGGTTCGGTTGTTAGTTCAATATTAGCCAACAAATTGCCAATATAGTCGGTCGAATGGGAGTCGATATTGAACTCGCGTGGAGAACGATAACGACTGCAGTTGCTTCGTTGCATTGATATTAGATCGGATTCGCGAGGCCAGGGCCGGTGCAGGCATTAATTTTGCTTCCTCAATTAATTTCTAACGAACGTCGAATTACATCGTCGGCGTGAATTATGTTACCAGGGTAATTTCTACGCCGAGGGAAATCCGTTTCTTATTCGTCTACACGTGACAGCATCTCCAAGGATGTGTTACGTCTGGGAACGAGATTCGCGGAGCGCGCTGGAATTGCTTGATTTATCACGCGGCCGGCAGATGTCCATATATCACGCGTTGATTTATTTATCCGCGAAGATTGGCGGGAGATATGAAAAATTGTACCGGCGGCTGTTTCGGATGATCGTGATCCTATCTGAAAGCACAATTCGAGAAGATGAAATGGAATTTTTTTATGTGCATTTTGGTTGCGGAGAAAATGGAGTTTATGTGTTAGGTTAACTTGTAATTGGTATATTTGTTGACGTATTTGTGGATACTGATTTTTTATGGAAAGAAGGGCCGATGCAAAATAATTTATTACATTGGGAATGTTTATAAGTACAATCAGTGCAATTCATAAAAATACGTGAAACAAACTATTTATAATAACCTACTAATTGTGAGCCAGAGCCACCCCATAAAACTTTTCGCTGTCATTTTATCATTAACACATTTATTGACTGCCAAAATGGATTTATCGAATCTAACTAAAAATTAAAAATTGCATATTTGAATCACTTTATTTCATAAATTTTGGCTATTATTAGATAATTTGCTGGCTTTGACACTCGTTGCAAAATAATTTATTACATTGGGGTTGTTTATAAATAAATATGTGTAATATGTAGTTTAAATTAATGTTTATAATTAAAGTATTTTATATTTTATTATTTAATTAGGATATATACATTTTTTAATACACATATTTAATATGCATTAAATATTTGATTTAGTATACAATAAATATTTAAAAATAAATAGTTAAGAGGACAGGTATTAAATGGTAATTTAAAGTCAATTTTTTAAATTTAAATATAACAAAATTTTCACCCTGTATAGAAAATTTGTTATTTATTATCCGTTTATTCCTTAATTTGTTCAAAGGACATTAAAAATGAAATCAGAATTTTTAATTTCAAATATAACAGTACTTTCTTGTTTTTGTATGTAGAATTAAATAATTGTGTTGTAAATTCATTGTTGTATTATGTTCCCAATTTTTCCTGTTGAGAGAATATAATGAATGATTAATTAAAAATAATTTCAGTATAACCAAACATCTTTTCACTTTTTTGCCTTATTCTTTCAAACAAAATTAATTATTTATAAGATTTCCTTTATAAAAAATTCATATATTAGTTATTCTATTATCTTTTAATATTTTTTCTTTTATTAAACGTTAATCAACATCGAAAAATTAAAATTGAATCATCTAGTTAAACAAATAGATCAATATTTGAAAATTCTCAAATCCTACGAATTAATTATTCAATGAAAATTCAGTGATGTTAATTATGGAATAATCTAATTTCCATAGATATCGACTCCCTTATATTCCAATCGATTTCGTTTCTATTATTATCCATTCGTGTGCTTTCACTCAACGAAATTTTGCATCGTGGTCACTCCGTCTCGAGAACGTATCCATATTTATTTTCTCCGAAGTAGCGAAAACCTCGCAGTTACCCGGTATATTAGCTGTTGACAGAAGCTTTCAGACGACTCCGGGATTCTCCGTTCCTCGAGTAGGAAACGGAAACGCAGGCCATCCAATTTCAGTTTCAATTTTTAGAAAAAAGCCGAATTCGTTAGAAGCTAGGTCGAGCAGAAATGGCAATTCTGGCAACCATTTTTCTGCACAATGTACATATCTGATTGCCATGATATTTCTCGCTGTATGAACGAACCTTCCTCGCGTCGATAAAACGTATAGTGTACTTAAAATAAATTTTGTACACAAAACGTGCCGCGAGTCGAGCCACACCCCCATAAAGAAGCTCCCTCAAGATAAATCGCCAGCGTTTATTGGGTTGTTCGAGAAGTTCGTGGAGAAGTTTCCAGGCGAATTTAAGGATGCTGTATTTTTGCGTTATTAACATTTTATTGGGTAATATATATAGATATTTCTTTTTGGCAAATTTATTTTTCCAAAACACTTGGCTTTTTCGGTAATAACTTCTTTGGACTACATAGCTTTCACTGTCGGAATACTGTAGAAAGGTCTTCAGTTTCTTGTCATGGAAAGCTGTTGTAAAGACTAAGATAAATGGTAGCCAGACGATGCTGTGTCTGCTGAATAAGATAGACGGGGTGAACGCTTTAGCTGGAGTTTAATTTTTTTATTCTTTACCCCACTTCGTTGATACAGATCTAATATTGTTTTATGGACAACCATACCTTTTCTATTGGTCAGTCCCGGAATTTTCTTTTTAATTGCTGTATTTAACCCTTTCTAGTTAACCCTTTGCACTCGACGATTTTTGGGCTAAAAAGGAGCTCAAAGGAGTTCAAAGATTTTCTGCTATAAAGCTGACGATATGTTTTGGAGCAGTAAATAAGAATTCGTATAATAATTAACACATAGAATTATTTAATTTCGATACCTCGCAATACATTACATTTATTTTATTTTTACATTTTTATTTTATTTATATTACATTACATTATCTTAAATTTGATATATTAATGAGTATCGATCTTTGAAATTTTATCAAATGGCGACTGAAGGACGTCCCTCGAGTGCATAGGGTTAATAAACTCGAAGTTGTTAGTGGTGAATGAAATATTAACCCTTTGCACTCGAGAGGTGAGCTTCAGTGACCATTTCATAAAATTTGCAAGATCGATATTAATTAGTATATCAAATTTAATGTAATGTAACAGTGTGCGAGGTATCAAAACCAAATAATTCTACATTAGTCAAATAATTCTACAATTATTTGATTTCGGTACAAAATTACAATACAAAATTTTTAAATTCTAATTATAAAGTTTTTAATTTTAATTCTAGGAAATTAGAAATTGAGTATGGAATAAAATATTCCTCCCAAATATAAATCTTCTTTATTAAATCTTATGTGCAATCATTAAACAAAATTTTAATCGCTGTACAATGAACATTTACTTTACACAAACTCATAACTCACATAACTCATTTAGAAATTCCAATATTTCATAAAAAACTTAATTGCTTATCGGTACACTTTTAACTATTCAGTTTAGTGAATTTCAGTATCGATAAGTGGCAATAAATAAATAAAATAAATGATATAAAATAATAAATATATATGAATATATATTTCACCACACGACTTGCACTTTCTACAATATTTATTATCTTTCTTTTTAATATTTCATCACAACGATATCTCGATCTTGATAATATTACCTATCATAATATCTACCTGAAACATGTCTCATCCACATCCTGAGAGCAGACCACCTAACCCAGCTCCTCAAATCAACTTTCTTTCTTCTCAACCCATGCACAATAAAACACCCTTCAAAAAAAAGAGGAAGAAAAACGCAGCAGTCAGGTCGAACGAAGCTAAAGAGATTTACCCTTTGCCTAACCCCTCCCCCTCCAACCCGCTCCGCCATTCTTTCTGTCACGTCTGCCACCCCTAGGATCTCGTTCCTCGCTTCTCGTTATTCCTCCCAGCCTCAACTTTTCCTTCAACCCCACCCCCTCGAGAATCAAGTTCGAAACGGCTTTCCCGTCGACCCGGACGCTCGTTAGTTGTCGATTTCGCCGATTTAGCGTGAATTTCGTTTCAGAGAAGCCACCGAAGCGCGGCACGATGAAAACCCAGGCGACCCAGACGGAGATGCAGGCCTCGTTCCGTGGCCGTGTCCCCGTCACCCTGAGCCCCAGGACTATACACCGGGTGAAGATGGTGTCGCAGGGAGCGCAGACGAACGGCATGTTCAATGGCAGGAAGCTGACCAAGAGCTACTCGGAGGTAGGTCAGCTGGGCACTCCGTTAGGAGGTCAGACTGGTGCAGCCAAGGATGACGCGGAACACCACGAGCCGTTACACAGAACGCAGAGCGAGGAACCACCTAGGTCACCGTTCCTAGTAGATACGCCACCTCCTCAAGGACACCACTTGGAGGAGCCGTTGACCAACGGGGACATCTCTGAACCTATCTCGAGCATGGTGAGTAGTTCACTGTATTTCTTTCCTGTGGTTACTTTGATCCGATTGATTTTGGTGTCGAATCGACTGATAAGCGATGTTGGTTGGATCTTGAGAGCTTGGTTTCGTTAGGAGTAGTTTGGCTGTTGGGTATGCGCAAACTTTGGGGATTGGTTGAATATATATAGAGGATATACTTTGATCGGCGAATATGGGGAATAAAAGATGTTGTTTAATTCCAATATATTTTTATTACGAGCTACAGAGACTTAGGAGTAAAGTACAAACTAAAAGATTAGACTAATAACTGAACTATGATCACGCAACTCACACTCGCACGTCAATCTTCAAACTCTGTAAAGCACTGTCCCCGACTCTCAACGACAGGACTTGTCTTTCAAACCTCGTATGCAACTGTAGGGAATGGATATCAGGTTTAGAGTGGATACCACTCCAAATATTCTGTTTCCAAGGGAGAGGTTTATTAAGTGCAATAGTTGACTCGATGTACTCGAGCGGAGCACTTGTTACGAACTGTATTGTCTCTTGTGGCTCCATATGATGGGCTGGTGTTCTATGGTGCTGGCCAGTTGGTATCCCCGTGGTCGTCGTTGCTATTGATAGGGTAGCAGGTAGAAGGACGACAGGAAAAGGAAGGGATGCGTTTCGTCCCGGGCCTGCTAGTGGACTCATCGGTAAGGCTTTCTTCTAGCAGGCCCTGCCTTGGACCAGGAATACTTAGGTGGCATAGGAACTTCTATTTAAGGAAGGTCGAGGCTTCACCGAGGACTTGCGAGAAAGTCCTCGAACCTCCTTCAAGTAGGAATCCATCTATTGGCGAGGGTGAGAACTTGGTCGCTACAGAACTGCCCTAGGACAGCCCTTGCACTCTCATTAAACCTTGCACTCTGTCTTCTTTCATACTCGAGTTTTCTTTCCCAATCACGCATTTCCCATAGCCTCGGTCTCGGTGGATCACGTACCCTAAACACTCAGGAGCATTCGCTCTTCACTTGCATTCCATACAATCATAAATATCCCGTTCATCCGATCCTTGCACGCGGTCACTCGTCCTTCCACGTGTACTTCAGACGACACTCTAAACATTCGGCCTGTGCCCTAAGTTGCTGTTTATTGCCCGTCATCAGCTAGGTAGGCCCAAGTGTTCCTTTGCATCCACTGTCAAACCTACTATTCCTACGTATATTATTTTGACGTGGTTATTTCGAGTTGCTGAATGATTTGGTAAACGTTGTTAGGGGATGATCGTGTTGGAGAGTGATACTTGTTGGATTGTGGTAGTTTGGTTTTGTTAGGAGTAATTTGATTGTTAGGTATGTAGAGACTGTGGGGATTAGTTGAATATATTTTTGTGCAGTGGTTATTTAGTTGTTGAATGATTTTATAAACGTTATTTGGGGGTAATGGTATCAGAGAACAATACTGGCTAGATTTTGAAAGTCTGGCTTTGTTTGGAGTTGTTTGGGGTAGTTGATTGGCTGTTAGCTATTTTTTACTATGATTATTTTGAATTATTGAATGGTTTGATAAACGTTGTTAGAGAGTGATGGATTTAGAGAACAATACTAGCTAGATTTTGAGAGTTTGGCTTTGTTTGGAGTAGTTTGGGATAGTTGATTGGCTATTAGGTATGTAGAGACTGTGATAAGTAGTTGAATATATTCTTTCAGCTGTGATTATTCTGGTTTGGTATGAAATGGTTTGATAAATCATATAGGGAAGTGATTTTGGTTGGATTTCAAAAATTTGGATATCTTCAAGGTGGGTTTGGGATAGCTAATTGAGAAGTTGTTTAGTAGACTTTTTATTCATATAATTCTAAATTCTAAAAATGAATATTTTTATTACATTCTATTTATCAAAATTATTTTCCATCGAGTCGAATATTCCATTGCTTTATTTGGTTTATTTATAGAAATATAAAACTGAAATATTTGTAAATATATATAGATAAGTGAAACTACTCATTTTTCATAATTTTATATATGTATATTTCCTTTTTTTTTTCTTTTCAAAAGTGAAGCCACTAGTTTCTTTATAATTTAAATTTTCAATCCTAAATGTAGTTTAAATATCCCACGTGTTTTGTTAATTGTTTATTTCTCAAATCTCACGAACGAACCAACAAATTTCTTCTTGGCGAATCCGAGTGGCACCAACTCGAACAATTTGCCAAGCCACAGCTCTCGTACATGTTGACTTTAAACGATTCGCTAAAATTTGCACAGGGTACTTCTGCCTCTAATGAATAAACTTTGAGAGTGGAAACGTCCGAGGCGAGCGATACACTCGCGGTCGTCCACTCTCCGAGAGACAGTGATGTTGATTTATGATGTCAACTCATTTGCGTTTATCAGCTGAGATAACCAGCTGCAGAGATTTCAGAAATTCTGCAAATGGGAATTTTATTATACTACATATATACGATCATAAATTTCTCTAGCATCACATCAACGCATCTTCTTTCACTCCACCAAAATTACCATTTTCAACGAATAATCTTCAACTATGAACACCATAACTTCATTTCCGTATTTTATTTTAATTATGTACTATTTTATTGTCGATTAAGAATTGAATAACTTTCATCTCAAATATTGTTTCGTCATACTATCCAAACTGCAATTGGGACACCCTATATATCATATTTAATTTAATATTCAATACTAATATTTAATGGTACATTCGAATTTTTTTATGTAATATTTTATTTGTCATTTTGTTCGAATTACTCTCTATAGTAATTTTCATAAGTTTATTTTCCTATTTTATTATATAAATAACTTCCATTTCAAATATTTTTTTCGTCGTATTACCGAAACTGTAATTGGGACACTACATATACCATATTTAATTTAATTTTTAGTATTAATATTTGATATTATATTCGAATTTTTTAACATAATATTTTATTTATCATTTTGTTCGAATTATTCTTCATAGTAATTTTCATAAGAGAAGGACGTTAAAAACAGACGAACTTTGGCTTATTTATTAAACAAGAGCGATAATAAAAAGGAAACTTCATTTGTTCGCTCGAAGATAAACAGCCTAACTTAATAGAGAATGCGCGCACAATAAAGTTAGCCAAGTATCTACGTTAAAACTACTTAAAATTAATTGCTCACCCACGATACATCGCGAACACTTCACGGGTGTGCTATAACTCGTACAGACTAGTTTACATTGTGCAGCACACCCAAAGGAAATATTGCAAAGTTAAAATTTAAGTGCAAGTATTGCGCAGTTCTTAGCTTGCCATAGCTTTGCAGAGTTAAAACCCAGGAAAACGATGCCAATTACAAGAGTTTCACCACGTGAAAGTATCGTTGGCCCAAGTGAGTACACAAAACTCCGCTAGGCGGCAGCACTCTTGCCATTCCCGTAACTAACAGTAGTGTCACGCTATCTATATTCCATCAACTCCATTTTGACAATTTTTAACCTAAATTTCTGCTTCGAATAATTCATTATAACATCGTTTTTCGTAACAATAATTAATTTTTACATTTTTCGATAATTAAAATACATTCATATTCTCACTATAGGTTAATTTTTGATGTGCAATTACTCTAAGTATTCCCGCCATTTCTTTAAGCACAGAAGCAATAAAGAAGCAACATAAAAGTCCGATTATTTCTTTAACTGCTACTAACAGTCACGATGTCCAAGGATAAAGTTGGTCAGTGGTCATCAAATAGAAATAACCACACTGCATATTAAAATCCTCTTTCATTTAAAATTTAAATTACAGAAGCGTCGATACGTACATGTAATAAATAAATACACATATACAATACAATTTCACAGTGAATTTCTTCAAAAATTAAAAGCATTATATGCATCAAGATATTAACGATTTAAAAATAATTAAATCGTCGGTGTGTAAATTATCAAAGAAATAATCAATTTATCTGTTGTATAATTATCATCGGATTAATTAATTCGTCAAATAATTCGAAAAAATTTTAATTTTCTAAGTAATTTACATATCTTCTGTACATCTGAAAAAGAAAAAGAAAATCTTCGTTTATTCGCTGAGAACAGGTTCATAATTCGCATGATGTAGTATAATCCAACGAATCTCGATGAATTCTGGCTGTTAATTATTATTTGCACGAGCTATCCCGTAAATTGTTTATTTATCGCGTGGATAAACTAGCGAAACATGACGTCTAATAGCAATATAATTGCCAGCAAATTATTCATTCGTAAAATGAATTATTAATTAGCTCGGTTGTTCATTAAATCACCCGCTGGAATCTAATATTGATCTTCTCCTCCTGCGCGAAAAATGGAACAACTTCGTACGTACCACGGTCTTCAATGGCACCCCAGAATTTACTTAATCTGTTAAATCGCCTAGGCCCGCGGCAGATTTCCTCATACGTGAATTCGAAGCAATTCCCGAGGCGGAAGAAAGAGGATTTCATACGGCCCTGGGAAAATGCGAAACATTAAAGGGTGCTTCGGGTTTATTGAATTTCGCAGCAAAATACAAATGCTGATCGCGATAAAGAAATTTTCCAGTGGAACATCAGTGGTAACTAGAACTGACAACTACGAAATTTACTTTTTTAAAATCCAATTTGTTATGTGATTTTTAATTTATCGCGTTCTCTCGAAGTTTCGGATTATTTTTACCTCTTATTTCCACTACTGTATTCTTTCTACTGTATTTCTAATTTTTATTTGATCATTTCGTCAAATTTATTTTACATAATATTCTTATCTCCTGTCTATTTAATAAAATATAGTTTCCTATCTCTGTGTATGTAAAAATCTTATGGTAAAAATGTATAAAATTTGCATATGGAAATGATCAGTGTTTACTGTAAATAATTTTCTTGCAAAGGTACGAAATTTTGATTGGTTAATTATATTCTTGCTAATCTATGTCAATTGT